AAGTCTCATGGATATGGACAACAGTGTGGTGATCTTGGAGCAGAAGGTGGATGGGGAGAGGTGGAGGAGTGTATAGGGGTGATAAATGGTGATGGAAGGAGACTTGACTTGGGGTGGTGAACTCACAATATAGTGTACAGATGATGTGTTGTGGAATTGTGCACCTAAACCCTGTATAATTTTGTTAAGCAGTGTCACCCCAATAAATTAAAAAGGATAAAAATAAATAATTTTTGTCTACTTTATGGGTGTAAATCATATTCAATTTGGTTGTAATTTGCATTGTGTTGATGACCACAGTGATAAAAAATTATCCACACCCTCTCCAGCACTTGTCATTTGTTAACTTTTTGATGGTAGCAATCCTGACATGTGTGAGGTGATACCTCATTGTCCTTTTAATTTGCTCCTCTCTGATGAATAGTGACTTTGAGCATTTTTTCATATGTCTCTTGGCCATCTGTATGTCTACTTTTGAGAAATGTCTATTTTTTTGCCCATTTTTAGATTGTCTTCCTTTTGTTAAGTTATATAAGTACGTTATGTATTTTGGATAGTAACCCCCTTTTCATATGTATCATTGGCAAATATGTTCTCCCATATGGTGGGCTTCAACATCAACAAATGACAAGTGCTGGCAAGGATGTGGAGAAAAGGGAACCCTAGTACACCGCTGATGAGAATGCAGACTTTGTGCAGCCATTATGGAGAACAGTATGGAGTTTCCTAAAAAATTAAATATGGAACTCTTATTTGATCCAGTGATCCTACTTCTAGGAATGTATTCTAAAAAACCCGAAACACCAGTCAGAAAGAATATATGTACCCCTACGTTCATAGCAGCACAATTTACAATAGCTAAAAACTGGAAACAGCCCAAATGTCCATCAGTAGATGAAATAAAAAAGCTGTGGTACATTTACACCAGTGAATATAATGCAGCTGTAAAAAAGAAGGATCTCTTACCCTTTGAGACAGCACAGAGAAACCTAGAGAGTATTATGCTAAGCGAAATAAGCCAAAGAAAGACAATTATCACATGATCTCACTCATTTGTGGAATCTAAAGAACAAAATAAACTGATGAACAAAATAGATCCAGAGACATAGAAGCATGCAACATACTGTCTCATCTCAGAGGGAAGGTGGGAGTGAATGGGTGGGAAGAGGTCAATCAAAGAACTTTTATGCATATATGCATAACCCATGGACACAGACAATAGTGTGGTGAAAGCCTGGGGTGGGGTTTGGGTTCAGAATAGAAGGGGTCCATCGGGAAAAAAAGGGGACATCTGTAATGATTTCAACAATAAAGATAAATTAAAACAAATTATCCAGGCAGAATTGTATTGAAAAAAAGCATTAAATTTTGCTGTTTAATTTATTGAGAATTTAGAAACCTTTCCTAAATTAAGGGAACAATTTTTAGAGGAATTTTAAAAATAATATTTTAACTTCTGTGATCAGCTTTATGAAGTGGTTTTGAGCAGTTAGACTTCATACATGTCATGTTTGTATTCAACTTCTGCAGTTTCTGTTTTCAAACCAGACATGATGATCTAATCATAACACTGTTCTTCCTTTTGGGAAATGTTATTACCGATGGCGATTACCATCTGTGTTTAGAGAGTGACTCAAAATACTTTAATAATAACTAGAAGTTATTTCCCCTCAATTATTTTGATTCCCCCCTCTGCTCTTGTTCTCAGCATTGCCTCATTACTAATAGCTGCATGTCAGATTTGTTTCTTTGATATTGTGATCTCCCAGAAGCCTACATTTCCCACACCCCCATACACCATATGAAATTGTTTATGCTCTTACTCTGTTTTTTGAGTTATTTGCCTAAATGCAATGGGCAGTTAAAAAATGTTCCTGACTTTGGAACTATATTTGAAACATTTAAAATTCAAAAGATGGACACAACATATATTACAAAATCAATTAGAGTTGTGTGTGTGTGTGTGTGTGTGTGTGTGTGTGTGTGTATATATATATATATATATATATATATATAGAGAGAGAGAGAGAGAGAGAGAGAGAGAGAGAGAGAGAGAGAGAGAGAGGTATGAGGGAGATGGAATTCCTTTGATGTTTTACTTGTAAGGACCAATTTAAGTAGAAGAAAAATAGGTGAAGTATGAAGTCAGAAATATATATTATTCATAGATGATTTGACCTGCATAAATGTATGTAGTGGGAAATGTGACTATATCAATGTAATTTTCATTTATGTTCAGAAATTTTTTACTTCTTACTACATACTTCTGGGTTGAATTATTCAGTTACTTTAAAAGTGCCTTTCTGCTTTATCCTCTCCCAGTAATCCTGGGAGATGCTCCAGTACTTTGGTCTATGACATACTCTACAGTAAAACTATATTACAACATTGCATTCCTAACTAACCAGGTAAACTAGCCTTCATTTGCTGAGTGTATTGTATTCTAAAGGTTTGTTACCAATTCTTTGGTTTCAACTTGGCATTTTCCCATAAAACAATGTAGTTCATTTTGATCATGTACCTACATCAACCCTCAGAAGCCCCTTTTGACCCATAAAATGTCTGAGCTATATAGTACTAAATCTGAGTGTTCTATCCTAAGGAGGAAAGAAGAAGAGAGTCTCCTTTCTTAGGCACAGGACTAACTGTAGGCACAGTTTTTATAGGATTTGTTTGTTTAGACATTATTCTGTTTCTCTTTTCATACCCATCACTGCTTGCCAGTGACCCTTTCCCTAGATCCTAAAGCCTCATGATTGCCTTAAGTATCCTACCATGGACTCACCATCTGGGCCTGTGAGTTCCCTTCATCCCCATTATCCTTTGATCATACCGTGTTTCCCTGAAAATATGAATAAAACATCCTCCTAAAATAAGACCTACCTACAGGTTTCCTTCTGAGTGAAATATAAGGCATCCCCCCGAAAATAAGGCCCCCCTAGGCTCTGTCTCAGAATGAAAATTAATTTACCGCCCCAACTGGCGTCTAGCAACCAGTGACATTATGCGGAGTCTTGACGTCACTGCTGTGTGGAGGCAGAGCGGAGGTTAGAGTGAGCAGTGAGCGCGGGCGGGAGAGAGGAGGAGACTTTTGCAGATGCGTGTAGAACAGGAGGATTAGAGCAGATGGGATGCGGCGAATACTGAAGGTTCTCAGTCAGTGGCAGACCCTGCTCTAGCTCAGATCCAGGCCCCAGCAAGCCCTGTGACAGTCCCCAGGCAGGCCCCAGGGGGTAAATGTCTGATAAAGGGGTAGGGGGGATGTCTGGTGAAGGTGTTCAGTGGCACAGGGGTGGGGGGAGGAGGATCACTTAAAATGACACAGGAGCATCAGAGGGGGCAATCAAAATGACACAGGAGGATCAAAAGGGGTTATTAGGTTAATCTATATGAAGTTGCCAATATTCGACTACTTTGATATGCAGCAATGGCAATTTTATGCAGTTCAAACTAATATTAGTGAAAAAAATTAGATTCCTATTTTTATGGAATTTTCATTCCAGTGGAATTTGTATTAATTAATGATTTTAGTGTAATAAATTACCCCAAAATGTATTGGCTGAAAACAAGTATTTATTATCTCAGAGTTTCTGTGGGTCATGAAATTGGGAGTGGTTCAGCTATGTGATTCTGGCTCAAGGTCTCTGATGACATTGTAGTCAATATGTTGGCTGGAGCTGCAGGCATCTAAAGGCTTAACCGAGTCTGAAGAATAGACTTCCGTCTGGCTGGTGTGGCTCAGTGGATTGAGCATTGTCTTATGCACCAGGGGTCACTGGTTCAATCTGGTTCGATTCCTGGTTGTGGGTGCCATTAGGAGGTGTGCAGGAGGCAGCCAATTGATTGATCAATATGTTCTCTCTTATCGATGTTTCAATCTCTCCCTTTCCCTTCCTCTCTCAAAAAAAAAAAAAAAAAAAGAATTAAATCAATAAAAACATTTTATAAAAAGAATCAACTTCCAAGACAATTCACTCATCTGGCTGTTGTCAGGAAGCCTCAATTTCTTCACACATGAACCCTTTCATAAGATTGCTTGAGTATCCTCATGACATGGCAGAATAAATGATTCAAGACAAGACAAGGAGGAAGCCACAATGACTTTTCTTTCCCTCTTGCAGTACCTTTTATGACTTAGTCTTGAAGTCACACCTTGTTGCTTTCACCATATTCTATTTGTTGGAAGCAAGTCACTGAGCCCAGGACACACTCAAGGGGAAAGGAGTTAATTTCCACCTCTTGAAGCAAGGAATAAACAAAGAATTTGTGAATATGCTTTAAAACCATCGCAGGAAGACAGATAAAAAGCAATAAACATAATAAATAAGTTATAGACAACATTAGAAGGTGGTAAGTTCTGTGAAAAAAGAAAAATAGAGCACAGGTAAAGGGAATCAGAGTGTGTGTTTATGGAAAAATGTGGGTTGCAATTTTAAACAGGTTGGTCAGTGTAAGACCATTAAGAAGGTTAGATTTGAGTAAAGACTTGAAAGAGATAAGGAAGTTAGCAAAGCAGATATCTGGAGAAAGTCCCAAACTAAGGAAATAGTGAAAGCAAAAGCCCTGAAATGAGATTAACATGAGGTAAGAGAAGAGAATACTGTCTATATTTTATTAGCACTACTAGTGGCCCAGTGTATGGATTCATGCATATTGAAAGGAAATTAATTAGAATAAATATTTTAATATTACTATTCGCCCTTTTCTGTAATAGATGTGTCAACCAAAATCACAATCAACAATGACAGATCGAAACACATGCATGCAGTTGGTGCCAGCGAGAGCTTTACATGTATCGCACATGTGCTAGTCAACATTTATTTTTAAATTGCTAGTGTGCATCATATGTACCGGCTGGCCAGTCAGTTGGATGGCTGAATGAACATATGGTCCGTCACTTAGCCTTTTATAAATATAGATATTTTCTATTGATGAGGTGGGGGAAAATGAAGAAGTATTATTTCCATGGATGAAATGAATGAATTCATTGTTTCTAATAGGAATGTAAAGAAGAAATCAAAATGGATCCAAGTATGGGTGTGAATTCTGTCACCATTTCTGTTGAGGGGATGACGTGTAATTCCTGTGTTTGGACCATTGAACAGCAGATTGGAAAACTGAGTGGTGCACATCACGTTAAGGTAAGTTACTCTTTGGGAATTAGTGAAGTCAGAGATTTCAGAATGGGTTTGACTTTTTAGTGAAGTAAAGAGTTTATACTTTTTTTTTTTTTTTTTTTTTTTTTTTTTTTGCCATTTCAGGTTTATTTGTGTTGCCTCCCCCCAAAGGATTTATACTTCTTGTTTCTACAATATTCTTGTGTATGATTCAGACTTCTCATAAGATCTTGAGCAAATTGACTTCAGTTTCCCTTGTTTTTATTACAAATAAATTGGCTATAGTGATTCTTCAAGAAGTTTGATATAAAATTTCCTTATTTCAAGAATCATGAGACGGTCGGACCTGTATCACCACCATTTGTCCACCAACCAGATCTGAAATATCATGGCTGACATGTATACATAAGGAACTCTTTGACATTAAAATTGGGACTCAAAAGAACTGTTGGCCCAGAAAGGAACTCACTACAGACTGATTCATTTTTCAAACCTCAGAGGGAAAGTAGGGGAGGAAGGGGGTAAGGGGAAGAGATCAACTAAAGGACTTGTGTGCGTGCATATGGGTCTAGCCAGTGGCCATGGACAACAGGGGTGTGGGGGCAATGTGGGGAGGGGTTTGGGATGGGAATGGGGGGATGAGGACAATTATGTGATACCATAATCAATAAAAAAAAAGAAAAAAATCATGTAAAGTGTGATGGCAATATGTGGGTAATTCTTTTCCATGTCTGAAACTGTAGGTGATTTTTTTCCACATCTGAGTTTCATATTCATCTTGGCCAAAGAGGGCAAAGTAAGCTTTGGATCCATTTTTACTATTTGTATGGTGGGAAAGCAGTATTTCTCTCATTTGTTGTCTATACTACACACTCTGGTCAGCTAAGACTGTGTTGATGGTTGTGGCTAAATTTTTTAAATTTACATAATATAATAAACCTTCTGCTAAGTTTTCTACCCTGAAGGCATCCATAGGTAGACTTAGATATGAATTTTCCACTTTCTCATGCTCTAAAAGTAGGACTTTCTTTTGTATTCATTCACCATCTACCTTCACATAACTCCAGTCTTGGAGGCTCTTCAACCCCTGCTGCATTCTTTTTTTTTTTTTAAAATATATTTTATTGACTTTGTACAGAGAGGAAGGGAGAGAGATAGAGAGCCAGAAACATCGATGAGAGAGAGTCATCGATCAGCTGCCTCCTGCACACCCTACTGGGGATATGCCCGCAGCCAAGGTACATGCCGTTGACTGGAATCGAACCCGGGTCCCTTCAGTCCCCAAGCCGACGCTCTATCCATTGAGCCAAACCGGTCTTGGCCCCTGCTGCATTCTTTAACTTGCTTTGGGGAGAAAACCAAGTTGGAAGTGCGGAGAAGTGACAATATTTACTATACTGCATGTTTTGTTAAATTGGTTTATCTTTAAAATATTCAAATTTATAAAAACATTTTGTAATTTTTCCATTAATTTGTAACTATCCAAAAATTAGATGGATATTTTGCAGGATATTTTGTTAATTTGAAAAGAGGATGGCAAAAGTAACTCTACAACTTTTAGTTCCAAAGCTTTAAAAACAAGTCATTTCATTCCAGTGATTAATAAATATGACACCTGCATTTGATTTTATCCTCAAATGAAATCAATTAAACCTCCTCCACGTGATTTTAGGTGGTCTGTTTATTTATTTATTATATCTATCTATCTATCTATCTATTTATTTATTTAAATTTCTTTATTTGATTAAGGTATCACATATTTGTCCTCATCCCCCCATTCCCATTACCCACCCCTCCCCAAGCATATCCCCAACCCCCTGTTGTCCCTGACCAGTGGTTAGGCTCATATGCTTGCACACAAGTCCTTTAGTTTATCTCTTCCCTTTATCCCCACCCTCTCCTACACTCCCTCTGAGGCCCGGCAGTCTGATCCTTGCCTCCTTGTCTCTGGGTCTGTTCTTGTTCATCAGTCTATGTTGTTCACTGGCAAACTATTTTAGACTAATGTTCGTTTTTCCAACATATCCATGTATAAATGAAGGACTAAATTCTACTTTAACATTTGCAAATACATTGCTCTCGAGATTCCCCCCAAAATCCTATTGCACCCAACTCGTATGTAAGGCTGCTGTTACTATTGCATCTTTCTAGAATTCACTTCTGTTTAATAAAGCTTGCTTAAGGCCAGGAAAATGCATTTGCATTGGATTAAGTGTAAAAGAAAAGTAGCAGTGATGTAATGTTAAAGCACTTTGTGTTATCAGCAGTGTATCCCAGTGACAGATACTTATGGCTGTACTTTCCAGGGCATGTTCACAATTTGATTGCTAAGAACAAAAGGAAAAACACTTTCTCTGCCTTTTCCAGCTCACCTCTCTTCCTTTAGTCAAAAGCCCATATGGTATAGAGCAGTGGTCAGCAAACTCATTAATCAACAGAGCCAAATATCAATAGTACAACGATTGAAATTTCTTTTGAGAGCCAAACTTTTAAAACTTCAAATTCTTCTAACGCCACATCTTTAAAAAAGACTCGCCCAGGCCGTGGTATTTTGTTGAAGAGCCACACTCAAGGGGCCAAAGAGCCGCATATGGCTTGCGAGCCACAGTTTGCTGACCACGGGTATAGAGTATAATTTTGACCTTTCTTCTTTTTTCCATTCTTTTCTTTTTTCTTTTTCCTTTCTTTAAAACATATTTTGTTGGATGGGGGAGGATGAAGAGGGTAAAGGAGGTCAAATACAAGATGACAAAAGGAGACTAGACTTTGGGTAGTGAACACACAAAAGAGTATACTGTTGCATTATAAAGTTGCAACTTGAAATTTATATAATGTTACTAAAGGCCCGGTGCACAAAATTCGTGCATGGGGGTGTGTGTCCCTCACAGCCCAGCCTGCACCCTCTCCAGTCTGGGACATCCCTCTCACTATCCAGGATTGCTGGATCCCAACTGCTTACCTGCCTGCCTACTTGATTACCCCTAACCCCTTCTGCCTGCCAGCCTGACCTAACCGCCTAACCACTCCCCAACCAGCCTGATTGCTGCTAACTGCCCCGCCCCTCCCCCTGCTGGCCTGGTCACACCTAATTGCCCTCCCATGCCAGCCTGGTCGCCCCTGAATGTCCACCCCTGCAGGCATGCTCCCCCCCAACTGCCCTCCCTTGCACACTTGGGTCCTCCCTAACTGCCCTCCCCTGCCAGCCATTTTGTGGCAGCCATCTTGTGTCCACATGGGGTTGCCATCTTTGACCACATGGGGGCGGCCATCTTGTGTTGGAGCGATGGTCAATTTGCATATTATGTTTTAAAAAGTTTAATATTTATTGTTCAGATTACTATAATTGTTCCTCTTTTCCCCCCCATAGCTCCCGTCCACCAGGTTTCTACTCCACCCTCTGCCCTTACCTCTCCCCCACTGTCCTCATCCATAGGTGTATACTTTTTGCCCAGTCTCTTCCCACACCCCCCACACCCCTTTCCCCCTTAATCAAATAAAGAAATTTAAATAAATAGATAGATAAATAAATAAACAGACCACCTTAAATCACGTGGAGGAGGTTTAATTGATTTCATTTGAGGATAAAATCAAGTGCAGGTGTCATATTTCCACTCCCTTTCTATGCCCCTGATTCTAGAATAAAATTTTTCATTCCCTTGGTTTTTAGATTGACTTGTTGAGAGATACATATTTGCTGTTCTTAATTTTTATCTTTATCTTTTTCTTCTTCTTAAAGAATACCTTTCAGCGTTTCATATAATACTGGTTTGGTGGTGATGAACTTTAGCTTTTTCTGATCTGTGAAGCTCTTTATCTGACCTTCAATTCTGAATGATAGCTTTGCTGGGTAGAGTAATCTTGGTTGTAGGTTCTTGCTATTCATCACTTTGGATATTTCTTGCCATTCCTGTCTGGCCTGCATTGTTTCTCTGAAGAAACCAGCTGACAGTCGTATGGGTACTCCCTTGTAGGTAACTAACTGCTTTTCTCTTGTTGCTTTTAAGATTCTCTCTTTGTCTTTTGCTTTTAGCATTTAAAAAAAATATATTTTATTGATTTTTTTACAGAGAGGAAGGGAGAGGGATAGAGAGCTAGAAACATTGATGAGAGAAACATCGACCAGCCGCCTCCTGCACCCCCCCCCCCCCCACTGGGGATGTGCCTGCAACCAATGTACATGCCCTTGACTGGAATCAAACCTGGGACCTTTCAGTCTGCAGACCAAGGCTCTATCCATTGATCCAAACCGGTTTTGGCTGCTCTTAGCATTTTAATTATGATGTGTCTTGGTGTGGTCCTCTTTGGATTCCTTTTGTTTTGGGTTCTGTGTGCTTCCTGGACTTGTAAGTCTATTTATTTCACCAGGTGGAAGAAGTTTTCTGTCACTATTTCTTCAGATAGATTTTCAGTGTCTTACTCTCTTCTTCTGGGACCCCCCATAATTCTGATGTTGGTACACTTTAAGTTGTCCCAGAGGATTCTTACACTATCTTCAACTTTTTGGATTCTTTTTTCTTTTTGCTTTTCTGGTTGAGTGTTTTTTGTTTCTTTGTATTTCAAATCTTTGACTTGGTTCTTGTGATCCTCTAGTCTGCTGTTAGGTCTCTGTATAATATTTTTTATTTCAGTCATTGTATGCTTAATTTCTAATTTTTCATATCCTCAAGGTTCTCATTAAATTTATTGGCTTTTTCTAGAAAATTCTTGAAAAACCTTATAACCGTGGTTTTGAACTCTATATCCAGTAGTTTGTTTTCCTCCATTTCCTTCGTTTGTGACCTGCCTCTTTGTCTCCGCATTTTGGCTGCTTCCCTGAGTTGACAGAGTGGCTTTGTGTGCTACGTGTCCTAGCAGGTTCCAGTGGCTCACTCTCCCCAGTTACCTGAGGTGGACACTCTTTGTGGACTGTGTGTGCAGTCTTGTTGTAGTTAAGCCTAGATTGTTGTTAGTATCACTGGGGAAAGTTGACCTTCAGGCCAGTTGGCTGTGAGAATCAGCTGTGTCTATGTTGGGAGAGCTTCTGT